ACCCATTATTCCTGCGGGATTGAAATTTGGGAAATTTGTGGCTGCTTCAGCACTGCTGCGCTGCTGCACTGCCACAGTCAGCCTAAGCCACATGATCATTATGGGCCTATCCCCAACCTCTTTTCTGCCTCCCTTTGTCCCCTGCACCCAGTCAGCTAGCAGCAAGGTCTGACGGGTGAGTGGTGATTGGCTGCTTTGGAAACAAGGCAGAAATTTGAAATCTCTTAACAGCGATGGGTGTTGAGAGGAGAACGAGGGAGCGACTTGGATGCCTGCTGGTGAGGGAGGACTGTCTAGGGGCACTGGTGGTCAAAGGGTGAGCCCTCTTCCTCCTTTGAGGGAGGGACCCTTGGGGTCACACCAGAATGGTGAGTGGGGGTACAGTTTTCCTCACATTCTACAGCTCCCTATGTTCCATCTCCCCCCAGCAAAGTAACAGGCAGTTCCACAGGTCAGCCAAGGAGGAGGAAACTTCACCAGGCTCTCCTGAGGACTGTGAGAGGAGGGCAAATGGTGCAAACCTATATTGTATGTGGAGAGGGAGGGAGGGAGGGAGGGATTCTTACATTCGGTGCCAGCTTCCCACAAGCAAAGTCAATGGAGAAGCCAGCAGCAAGTTATAAGTCATTGACACTCCTACTGCCTTTTTGCCCTTGGTCATTCTGTTTCTTTGTTTAGATAAGGAAATATCTCTGAAACTATCACCTAACAGGTCATGGGTTGTCTAGTAAGAACCATGCCTTTGTCATGGATAGATCACTTCTAGTGATTGCGGGGTTGACTGGTGCCACATTTCTCTGTGGGATAATGGGATCAATTAGATTAGCCTGCCCCAGATGTTCGATGGATCTAACAGCAACTTGGAGGGTACTTCCTCAGGGACCCTAATTGACCACTGGAATAGATAGGTGACAGGGTTTGTCTATAGGATTACTCCCAAGACATCTATCCCCTCATGCCAGTCCTGGATTGCTGTTTGGTTTTCAGACATGGCTTTTTCATTACAGGTAGTCCTTGGGTTATGACGGCAATTGAGACCAGAATTTCTGTTGCTAAGTAATGTGGTCATAAAGCACAATGTCATATGACCACATCACTTAGCGACAGCAATTCCGGCAGTCCCAGTTGCCATTGTAACCGAAGGTCCACATAGCTCATTAAATGAGTACCTCATGTGATCTCAACTTCTGAGTTCTTGCTGGCTTCTCCATTGACTTTGCTTGTGGAAAGCCAGCAGGGTATGTCAGAAATCCTGATCATGTGACCTCCAGGACTTTGCAACGGCTGGAACTCTGAGGACCAGTCATAAATATCATTCATTCAGCGTTGTCATAACTTTGAATGGTTGCTGAACAAATGGTCATAACCTGAGGATGAATTGGGTGCTTTGGTGTTACAAGGCATTATGGTGTGTGGGTGGGTGTGTGCATGTGTGTGCGTGTAGTGAACATCTGTTGATGGTATTGTTCGATAATGTTGATAAATGTTAATTATTGCAGTGTTATATATTGTTCCTTTTGCTGTAAGATGGCTGGAAATGGCATAAAAGCATTCTAAATAATACATAATAAATGAATAGCTTCCAAATTCCAGATAAAACCATTCAGATATTTCCACTCACTTTTAGTCCAAGTATCCATAAGCACATCCCATGCACCTTTGTTGACTTGTTTGGGTACATTGGATGGTTAGGACAAAGGAAAAATGTATTGGGTTTTAAGGACCTTCAGAATGCTTTGCAATTCAGATAGGGGTGATATGTTCTTTACCACAATTAGTGAAAGAAAAGTAAACATAATACCCTTGTTTTCAAAATGAACATTGGATAACCCAATGTCTCATGGGCTATACATGATGTTGAGGCAGTTTTATGGGCTACATACTATTCAAACGTTATAGCAGTTCCTAATTTTTTCAACTGTAAGAAATGTTTGAAAGCGCACTGACAGAATTGCTGAAAGATTTATGTGTGGGTATCAACAGTTTTAAAGGGCTTGTTGATACTTGTCACATTTGAAATGCTTTGCCTGAAACTGCAAGCTTGCATCAGAACAGTAAGACTGTTAAATAAGTGTAATGTATCAGAATTTGTTAAGACAGAATATATTACACTAATTGCATGCTCTTGAAATACGCCATTGGCTTGGACCTCTGATAGGAGGTATGGAAGTACTGTTCCACAGCTGAACAAACAGCTCTTCCCAGCTCTGCATAATATAAATCATATTTGTCACAAGTTTTAACTGTTAGTCTGGTTGATAAAAGATTTGACCTCTGAAAGACCTGATTCGAATACCAGCATAGTATGGATTTGTGGCTATGGTCTCTGAGTCTTACTTCTGACGCTGAATCAATTCATCATTGTAACCTGCTTTGCATGTTCAGTGTATTACAAATACATTAATATTAGCTCTAGATTCTGTGAGTGGGAATGCCAGTGGGATCATGAGGGTGCGGATCTGAAATCAAATCTGTGCTCATTCTAAAAACCACTGAGTTTTATTAACAAATTACAATGCTACCCGCTCCTTATATATAACACGGGATTGCTCATTACCCACCTTATTGGATGAAGAGGCTATAAGCTTAATGAGATATTGATATCAATGCAGAATACTGCAGATTGTTAGGGAAGGTTCACTCACGATCTTCTGAGGAAACATTTTGATATGCTCACTTCATAAGAACCTCAGAAAAAGGTAGGGATTGCAAATAACCATGGGTGCTTGCTTTTCCTATATAAAATTAAAGATCCACCTTTAACTAGCAGGAAACAGATGTATTGGATCTCATAAAAAAGATATTGACCACTCTTGCAATGTCCATCCCTTTCTCTTTTATTTTTATGGGTTTTAAAATATTTTATTTTACAGAGAAAGAGACCTTCTTGGATCCCTTTGTGTTAAGGGATCTCCTGCCAGCATCTTTGGGAAGTTACTATCGGTATGCAGGGTCATTGACTACCCCTCCATGTAGCGAAATTGTGGAATGGATTGTTTTTCGAATGCCTGTCCCCATCTCTTATCGGCAGGTAGGTTTGTATCATAAACAATTTGCCTGACTCATTATTTTCTTAGTTTTGTTTTTTCTTCTTAACCCGGTTTTTCCCCAGATGCATTGGACTTCAACTCCTGCTATCCAGTGTGGCCACCAGGATTTTAGGAGTTGAAGCCCCACACATCTGGAGTGTGCTGGATTGTAAAAGCTGGCATATGTTATAACCAGATTTCATCTCTTTTTCTTGTGAGAATAGAAAAGACCTTCCTCTGCCCCACAAAAAGCCAAAATAATTCTTGATAGAAAAGGAAGCAATCTGATTTTGTTTTATTGTTCTCTGAAGCTGAACATCAGCCACTCCACACAAGAAGATAATAGAACGTGACATCTTATTTCCTTTTAAATGATTTTAGCTATTACTGTTCTGTTCAGATACATTTAAACCATGGTGTAAATATTTACACAGAATTCTTCATTCTTTTCCTTTCTTCGTGTTTCTGCTTGAAAATTCTGCTAAATCATCTTAGATGTATACAGACACAGATTTGATAGTTTGAGATAATTGCACAAAGGAATGCTTTTGCTGATATACTAACTTTGCCTGATTTTAGAACATCATGGAGCTTGTACTGGGTGTGCCTGAGAAGGGCATACGGATCCTTATGAGGATTTCGTAGGAGGTCTTACTAGAGAATATACAAAATAATGCAAGGCAACAAGAGACAATTTCAGTGAGAGAAGTCCCAGTGTAATAATCTGAGAATATTTAACTGTTTTAACAATTAAATAGGCAATCGCATTTAAAATCTTTGAGAACATCATGGAGCTTGTACTGGGTGTGCCTGAGAAGGGCATACGGATCCTTATGAGGATTTCGTAGGAGGTCTTACTAGAGAATATACAAAATAATGCAAGGCAACAAGAGACAATTTCAGTGAGAGAAGTCCCAGTGTAATAATCTGAGAATATTTAACTGTTTTAACAATTAAATAGGCAATCGCATTTAAAATCTTTGTTTTCAAAATGTCTCTTCATTGACATCTGCCCCGTCTTTTCTTTGCTAGTGTTAATATATTTCATTGCAACAAAGGCATCTTGGAGGGTATTAACCGTTCATGGAAAAAGTCACCAATTTACATGAATGAAGGAGTATAAATATTCAATAACCCACATGATGGAAGCAAGTGAAAACATCAAGCCATCACTCGTGCCGCTGCTTCTCAATTAAGAGGGCACACCAAGTTCATATGTCTTTTCCTTGACAGTTGTACTTCCCTGTTTTCTCCATCCAGTGTTGTCAAGCAGTGGATTAAATCAAATCCACAAATTTCAGTTTGCCCCTGGAGTTCAGAATTAGGATATTTGAAAGGTTCTTTTGGTGAATAAAGCTTGCACTGGGTGTGCCTGAGAAGGGCATACGGATCCTTATGAGGATTTCGTAGGAGGTCTTACTA